CCACCGGCCTGGCCTGGCTGCCCCACGCAGCCTGCTGGTTGGTTGGTTGGTCGCCCCTCACTGCACCCCTGCCGGCCTGGTCGCCCCACACAGCCTGCTGCTCAGTCGTTTGGTTGTCCCTCACTAACCCCCCTGCCAGCCTTGTCGCCCGACTCAGCCTGTTGCGATGGCCCCTGGCTCTTTATATATGAAAACTTCACTTCAGTGGGTCTAGTTACTCATTAATCAAACCAAAGCTCACTCCTGTTCTTCCACCACTCTGTGCAATGGCTCTCTTATGGCCTTCTGCAGGTTCCCTACAGCCAAGGAGGGTCCTGTGCCCAACATGTTGGGGCCTTTTCCCACTACTGTTCAACTCTTGTTTTATGAATTAGTAAGGTGGCCAGGGTGGAAAGAGGTCTGTCTTCTCCTCCAATTCTGATCCCCTCCTCCCAGAGGGGAGATGAGCCAGGAGTCACTAAAAACAAGCTCAATACTGTCCTCTGACTCTGGTCAGTTTGACTGTAAAACCACAATGGTTTAAGATACTATTCTTAGATTTAGGGTGAAATAGGTAGAGAATCAGAAGAGCTCTCATTTAAAGCTCCGAGACTATGCCGCTCATTTTAAAATCTCTTGCCCATAATTAAGATTTATCCAGTATTTGATGAGATTAATAAAACCCTGCTTTCCTTTCCATGTGGTTATTGTCCTTATGTGAATAACTTTTGACTGATCAGAGATTGTGGAATTTCAATCACCCCTCTTTCCTGACATTAAAGCTGCTGTATGCTAATCCCTCAGCACCTCCTTCTGGAGTGACTTGTGCCTCCAATTGTGTTAGGGTCTGCATCACAAACTGTCTTGCCTTGTCTCAATTCAAGAAGTTCAGCTTCCTCAGATAATGTTAAGTAACAACACATCATCATCTTTTCATTTCTAAAAGTTCAAGTTTTTACTACAGAATTGCATATAGTTTTCTTTGTAATTATTTTAATCTCTCCTATATCACATTCCCAATTTGTCTATTTTTGCTTTCTCTCTTTATCTTATCAGACTCAGGAAGGGTTTACTATTTTATTATCTTCCCAAAGGACCAAATTTAAGATATATCTATCAATTTCAACTTTTTTTATATTCTATTTTACAAAATCAACTTTGATCTTGCTTAAGTTTTATGCTTTGTTTCATGGGTGTGTTTTTTTCAAATTTGTATGGACAAATACAAATTCTTTTATTTTTAATCTTTTTATTTTAAAAAATGGTAGCAGTTAGCCACATCCCACACATTTTGTAGTATGTTCTTTTTCTGAGTTTCATGGAGAGCTTGTATTTATTCTAACTTTTCCTTTGTTCTAAACGTGTATTTTCTTACTTCACATCTAGTCCGATATGCTTTTAAATGGTTTAATTCTAACTAAAACTTAAATATTTTAAGTTTTCTTATGTCCAACTACACTCTTAAATTTTCTATGGATATACCTATAAAAGTGGGTATTATCTGTTCAAGAGATATAAGGTTTTAGCTAGACTTACTAAATCAAGCATTTAGTCTATTATTTAATTTCCCTATGTCCTTAAGTCTACATCTTCCTTAAAATCTCCTAGGTATATCTTATATGAGAGAACTATATTAAAGTCACCCACCAAAACTGTATTTTATATTTGTCCTTGTATTTCCTATAGACTTTTCCTTTATATATTTATGTAGTTGCCACATTTTTTTGTGTGCAGATAGGTTTGTGCTTCTTCGTTTCTTTGTAAATTGACCTATTTTTCATTTTATGATGTTCCTTTTTATGTTGTTAAATGCTTTTAATTTTAAATCTCACTTCCTCATTCGTGTTCATTTAAATATCTCTTTCCC